CTTGCGGAGTGCCATGGAGTATGTTCAGAGTGAGGGACCTATGGCTTTCATTCTCTCCTGTGATGAAAATCGCGTACAGGCAGTTACGTTGGCTGAGGTCACGTAGGACTTGGGTGGCGGGGATATCAGGCGGGGGGAACAGGAGGTCCACCAGCAGGTTGACGGCCTTCAGCTGCTGTTCAATGCTCTCAGCATAATCTCTATAAGTAGCGTCATTAATGTAGTATGATTCACTCAACATCTAATCTAATAGGAATGATAATTTGGCTCAACTTCAAGCAAATACAAAAAAAAAAAAAAAACTATGTACAGATTTACATTACTATCAACATTAAACAACAATACACACAGAGTAAGCTACCAATGCTGACCTTTGCATTTTATTTGGAACCACAATCTCCACGTCGTTGGGCCTGTTGGGATCTAGTGGATCAAGAGGCTCTGTGTAGTTAGAGGCATAAGAGCGTGAAGTTCTCCCGTCAATTTCTGGAGCTGGGCCAGGACCAGGGTAAGCATCTTCATATCTCTGATAATAATCACGGTAGTAGTCATCATACATATCATCATAATGCCCTCGTCCTGCCCGGTCCCTGTCTCTCTCTCGATCTCTGTTTACATTGCCATTACCTCTTCCACGTCTGTAACATTTGTTTAACTTAGAAACCTTAAAAAGAAAATGCTTGCTCAAAGACCATGTTGTACCTAACAGGTCTTCATAAGAGACAGCAGATAATCACACAAAAAGCAAGGACATAATTCAAACCAAAGACGACATACCCATAGTAGTCCCCATAATAGTCATCGCCTCTATCTGGCGGGGGAGATCTCTCTCTGTTCTCACTGAAACGGCCTCGTTTCCCCCCTGGGGGACCACCTGCATTCTTGTTACCTGGGCCTCCCTGTGAACTTCCACTTCCTCCACCCGCACCTCCACCTCCACCTGCACCTGCGCCTGCACCTCCGCCTCCGCCTCCGCCTCCACCACCTCCACCCACACCCCCCCCTCCTGCTCCTGCTCCTGCTCCTGCTCCTGGTCCCGGTCCTGGTCCTCCACCTCCACCACCACTAATTTTTGCTGGCTTCACATCTGGTTTAACAACAAACAAAAAAATAAATCAATGCATAGAATTTATTAAACTGTTATCTACATAACAAAGAATCTTATCATATTTTTGAAAGATACATACCAACTCTGTTGCGGTTGATATATGTGATGTTTCCAGCCCTAAGAACAAGCAGCAGCCTCCTCTTCCTTTTCAAACTGGACAAACCCAAACGTTGTTTCTCTCGATCTCTGTTTACATTGCCATTACCTCTTCCACGTCTGTAACATTTGTTTAACTTAGAAACCTTAAAAAGAAAATGCTTGCTCAAAGACCATGTTGTACCTAACAGGTCTTCATAAGAGACAGCAGATAATCACACAAAAAGCAAGGACATAATTCAAACCAAAGACGACATACCCATAGTAGTCCCCATAATAGTCATCGCCTCTATCTGGCGGGGGAGATCTCTCTCTGTTCTCACTGAAACGGCCTCGTTTCCCCCCTGGGGGACCACCTGCATTCTTGTTACCTGGGCCTCCCTGTGAACTTCCACTTCCTCCACCCGCACCTCCACCTCCACCTGCACCTGTGCCTGCACCTCCACCTCCGCCTCCGCCTCCACCACCTCCACCCACACCCCCCCCTCCTGCTCCTGCTCCTGCTCCTGCTCCTGGTCCCGGTCCTGGTCCTCCACCTCCACCACCACTAATTTTTGCTGGCTTCACATCTGGTTTAACAACAAACAAAAAAATAAATCAATGCATAGAATTTATTAAAACTGTTATCTACATAACAAAGAATCTTATCATATTTTTGAAAGATACATACCAACTCTGTTGCGGTTGATATATGTGATGTTTCCAGCCCTAAGACAAGCAGCAGCCTCCTCTTCCTTTTCAAACTGGACAAAACCAAACTTGTTCCTTGTGATTGAAACCCCTACAAAAAAAAAATTATAATAACAATGAATCTCTAAATAAAATAAAATTCCGATAAGAATGAAACAACAAAAGACTTAATACACCACACAACATTTTTAGTAAAAATGAGAAAGATCAAATGAAAACAAATACATCAAATATTGTATCTCAGTCAGTTAATTTACAGGCATTAATCTGCCATGATGAAATAATATATAAAGAATGCCAAAACTTTTCACTTACAAAACTACTACACATGGTTTAACATTTCTTTATAAAACCCAACATTAAATTTTGCATTCTTAATAGGTCACAGAGAAGAAATAAATACAATCCCTATTTATTTTCCAATGTCCATGAAACTAATTCTATTCCAACCAAAGTGAACCTCAATGCTTTCTTACCCAAAACTCTGCCATACTGTGAGAAGTATTCTTGAAGCATATCGCGTGTTATGAAGGCATTGATGCTGCCAACAAAGATCCTTGCATTAACAGTCTTGGGGTCAGAAGTGACCTCTGACACACCACGACGATTAGGCGAGCTTTCGCGGTTCCTGAGGAGCAAAAGATTTTTTTCAACACCTAAAATGTGTATCTTAGAATTATATTTATATTACCTAAGTATAGTGTACTTTATTACATTGCAAAAAATCTGAATAATTAATAAGACTCAAAACCCATCAGCTCCATCAAAGAAAGGAATAATGTTAAAAATTTCCTTGTGCAAAATCTAAACGAGAGTCCAAGCCAAGTCAAAGTGACAATTTTTATGAACTCCACCTATAGCCCAACAAGCAGACAGACAGCAACAAACCTGCTCCTGCTCCTACTTCTGCTGCGAGAGTGGGACCGACGGCGATCCCGATCCCTTCCACGAGACATAGTACTTTAAAGTCTGAAGAGAAAAATTGGTCACTTTAAAAAATTTCTACATTCATGAAAGGTTGCAACAAATAATTTGCCATTAAGAAACTGAATTCCATAATTCTACTGTCATACGCAATCTACAAAAAATTCTTTTTAATGCTCTACTAATATTTTATCTATACTCCACTTATGCACTAATATTATAGTACTATAAATACAGGGACAAGTCACTGACCACATATGGTTATTTTCTTGATCAAATTCTCTAACCAACTGTAAAAGTATATACACATACAGTAAGTCTACTCCTCATATACATAAACTTACAGGGTTAAATAATCAGGAGCACACTCCTTCCTAGCACAACCACACAACCCAAGCTACCACGCGCCAATGCATACGAAGCAGGTTAATCCACTGCATCTGAGGCCTCAATGCCTGCTCATGGCCCAAAGTCTAGGCATTAGGCTTACTTGACTGGTGACTCTCACAGGTGTGCAGCTTGTAAGCCTGGCCAACTTAAACATTTATATGCAGTATCAAGACTCCTTGCCACCCCTCTGCAATGTTATTGCTAAAGGGAAACCAATTTTACCATCTTCCATTGTCTGTATTTGTCATTTGATATGCTATATCAAGATGATAATAGAACGTTTTTCTTGTACAGATGCCATACCATTTCTTGAAGTAGCTTGTAACTCTTGTTATTTGTAAAAAAAAAAAAATTATATAATTTCATAATTTTCAATTTTCAATACATCCTGCTCCACCTGACACAGTAGGCAGGACTAGGAACCTGAGCATGGCTTTTGAAGTCATAGCTCAGAGATGGCACATTCCACACTTATTTATCAATGTAAATAATGCAAGAGGCCCTTCTTAAATGCTCATTGAGTCTAATCACTGTCCAAGGGCTTTGTGCATCTTGTGGGGAGTCATTCCCTTCAACCCATCAAAATTCTCACATATTCCTGTCAAACCTGCTCTCAGCCAATTTTTTTCATAACCTAGTTTTGGTGTAATAATGTGTAGGAAGTATATCCTACTTGCTGATGACAATGTAATAATGTGGGGAGGACGTGTCCCCACTATGAAGGTAGTGCTTTGATTCTTGAGAGTGTTGTAGATAAGGTTGTTGCAGATTCTATACATTATTAGCACAAAAGTATGGTAGCTGGAGTACAGAGGACAGGCAAGGCAAAGGCACCCAGGGAGGAGCGGGGTGTCTTACCATGCCCGTGAAGGACAGAAGTCTATGTCAACTGCTCAGAAATTGTTATGAACAAACTTCATTTCAAACATTTCATAATGGAATCACAAAAGAATTTGAATGAACACAAATTCAGATACATATGGTCACATGATGGTTTTGTGGGGGGAAGGAACAAGGGTACCTTATATACAGTGGTATGTGAAAAGAGTTTTATGGTGTTTACAAGACTGAGTATTCATAAAACATAAAGACGTTTGAATATTAACAAAAGCAAAAACATACTTAGTGATTCAGGATAAGAATTTTCTAATGAACATTTTGAGCATAAACAAGACATAATTATACATAAAGCCACCAGAAGAACATCATGGGAATTGTTTGTGAGCATTAACGTTTAGTTTAGAGAGTTCTAAGGTCTCTTTGTCACTGTCACGGTTGTAGACCTGTTGGAGTCGCCTGAGGACAGTGGAGTTATTGTAAGATGAGAAATATGTAAACAAGGGTAACATATGAATAGAGTACAGTAAATACACAACTATAGTAATAATACATAATAAGTCACTGCAATGTATAATGCAGGGAGCTGCACCCCCTGTGGCCCCCCCACCCCCTGCCCTGGAAGACAAGTCCACCCCACATGTAGGTCGTGTGCTCTCTCCTGCCATGAATATGTGGAGGAATCTTTGTTGTCCTCGGTGGGACTTGGGGGTGGCAGCCCCCAAGGGGGGCCTCAGGGGGCACAGTCTCCAGCATTCAGCAGTACAGTGAGTTATTACCTTCATGATGTTATTATATTATTATTAATTTACCCAGTAGCTTCCATGCCTTCCCTTGCTATAAGGACCAATAACATATAGGAGTTTGGGGAGGTTTTGTGACATAATTCCTATATATATGTACTAGTCGGTGAGAGGAATCTGTCAATACCCAAAATCATCGAGATCAGTTATGCAAAGGTATTGTGAAAAATTACCTTGATTAATGCAATGGTGATGGGTGAAAAAAACTAAAAAAAAAAAAAAATACTACTACACTCTGGCGATCAATGGAAGTGCGCCAACTTTGAGCACGGGAGTTCGGTACATTAGGCAGAATAACTGGCTCACCGCACTTTGGCGCACCACCACGGCGTACAGCCACATGACATATTTCGAGCGGTTTGCTTTCACGCCTCTAGGCATCGCCCGTCGTGAAGGGGTTAAATGTAGTTTTCAAAAATAAGAGATATACCAAAATGTTATTTCTTGTTCCTACTCAAGGAGCATAATGTCCAGGTTTCAGTCCCCACTCGTGTCACAAGGCACTGCGTTCCAATGGACTACACCGGCCAGGGAGAAATGTCAGTCTGGAGCAAGTCCTTGAAAAATATAGCAGTCAGTATGGTCTCAGGGGTGACGCCTCCCATGTTAGAAAGATTTTTGGATCCGACACCAGCCTTTACAGTAGCCTATGCATCTAGGACTGAGTTCATTCATCTATTGGCCCATCCCCAGATCAAATATTTCATGAACAAACCTTAGCTTCAATTTTCCTATTTCCACTTAATTTTTTTTTTAATGCCTGGGTCTCTCCCTGTCCAAAGCCCCAAATTCCCCAAGGAACGTAGTCTCTAACAGGTGCAGTCCTCATGATAACCTTTACATAATAACTCTGAAGGAAAAAGTGAAGAAAATGGTTACAATATACATTATAGGCAATCTAACACTGTCAATATAATTATAACCAGTAATATATATCTAAACTGAATAATAATAACCTAATCCTGTAATGATACTTCAGAGAGAGCACGAAGTCCACAATTTTGATATTCCAGCGACTTGAAATTAGTGAAAGAGGCTGTCTATCCCTTCTGACAAAGGCATGCAACAGTGAAAAGGAAAAATACAATGAGTAAAATATGTTACTCCTCTCACCAAACAATAATGCTTTGATAGGCCTACAATTCATCAACAAAACCCTTTAGAACAATTCGATTTCATACTTAATACTTTAATAGGCCTACAATAATAATGCTTTAATAATAATGTTTTGATAGGCCTACAATAATAATGCTTTAATAATAATGCTTTGATAGGCCTACAATTCATAAACAATATACAAAAACATACGATTTCATACTTAATACACCACAACCCACCCCCCCAAAAAAAAATCAAATCAAAATAACAATATTCTAACATTACCCATCAACTCAATCCAGCAAAACTTCCACTAAATGAGAATATTAATAACAAACATGAGAAAAATAATAATAATAATAATAATAAACACCGATGGCGAACTGAAGATCATAACAATCCTTATTTATCTTCCTTTTCTTCGCCTTTTCTTCCCCTTCCATCGTTTATTCACGATTACTCCTCTTCCCTCCTGAATTCTCTCTCTCCACCCACCTTCTTACCGGTATTAAGTATTAAATAAAGTCAGAATTAAGGGAGATAATTCGCTCTTTCTGTCGTCTTTTTAATGCGAGTCTTGTTGGGTGATGGAGTCTCGGCTCAAGTGACGATCGGGATGCGCACGGATGTTTTTGTTTTGTTTTTGTTTGTGTTTGTGACGATTTTTGTTGTTTTTTGTGGTTGCGTTTTTTATCTTTGTATTGAGTATGGTGTTTTTTTTTGTTTGTTTTTTTGACGATCCGGATGCGCAGAGGATGTTTTTGTTTTGTTTTTGTTTGTTTTTGTGACGATTTTTGTTGGTTTTGTGATTGTGTTTTATCTATGTATAGAGTATGGTGTTTTTTGTATTTTGGGTTTTTTGACGATCGGGATGCGCAGAGGATGCTTTTGTTTTGTTTTTGTGACGATTTGTGTTGGTTTTGTGGTTGTGTTTTATCTTTGTATTGAATATGTTTTTTTGTTGTTTTTTTTGGTTGTGTTTTATCGTTGTATTGATTATGGTATTTTTGGGGGGCTTTTTTTTGGTTTCTTTGTTTTGTTTTTGTTTGTGTTTGTGACGATTTTTTTTTTTGTGGTTGTGTATTTTATCTTGGTATTGGTTATGTTTTTTTTTGTTTGTTTGTTTGTTTTTTGACGAACGGGATGCGCAGAGGATTTTTTTTGTTTGTTTTTGTTTGTGTTTGTGACGATTTTTGTTTGATTTGTTTGATCTCTTGTTTTTTTTTAGGTTGTGTTTTATCTTTGTATTGATTATGGTATTTTTTGGCTTTTTTTTTGGTTTCTTTGTTTTGTTTTTGTTTGTGTTTGTGACGATTTTTGTTGATTTTTTGGGGTTGTGTTTTATCTTTGTATTAATTATGGTATTTTTTGGGCTTTTTTTTTTTTGGTTTCATATTGAGGAATTTAGTGCTGTGGTTTTGCAGGGGTTTTTGTCTATTTATACTTTTTTTTGTTTTTTCCTTTTTTCTTTAGTATCTATTGTGTGTTTTTTTTCTTTCTGGTGATTTTGATATATCTTTTTTATTGAGGAATTTATTGTCATGGATGGTTGTG